TTGACATACCCAAGCACCCGGGCTCCTCCCTCAGTCTTCAAGAGCCCCGATCAGAGCCTCCGTTGACTCCACAAAGATCACAGCATCATCAGCAAAGTGGAGATTGGTTCATCTTTCCTCACCAATAGATGCCCCACAGCCGCTGGACCCCACGACCCTACCCAACACCTAACCCCAAAGTCAACTGGGAAGAACGCGGCGGTTCTGCCTCCGCTCTGCACAGCACTCACAGTACCAACGTCTCAGGATGTCTCACAGGGCTGCTTGATTATCTAGAATAATTAAGTCAAACGCTTTGTGAAAATCGACAAAAGCTCCAAAGAAACCCTGCAGATATTTGCGCTTGCACTCATGAGAATCCTCAGTGCCAGGATAATGTCACTGGTAAACTTCTTAGCCGTAAAACCAGACTCCTCCGGTGACTGACATGCCAGCAGATGATCACAGATCCTGCTGAGGATGACCCTAGCAAGGACCCTGTCTGGCACTGGGGTGAGTGTTATCCCCCTGTAGTTGCCATAATCCAGGTGATCATCTGTCCCTTTTCAGACAGGGACAACAAATCTCGTTTTTCCAGTTGGCTGGGATGACACCTGTCTCATAGACTGCTTGACACACCAGGAGGACAGCCTTACCTCCAGCTTAGAGAAGTTCACTCCCAGCTGCCTTCCCTACCCCCAGCTGGTTCACCACCTGTGCAATCTCAATGAGATGGTTCACAGCTAATTGTAGGATTAACCACAAGAACCGTGGACTTTGAGATGTGAAACATCCTAGTCAGAGGATCAGTCTTAAACAGTTGCTCAAAGAAGCCGGCCCAGTGGGTCACAACTGCAGTGTCATCCATAAGGACCATTCCATCACTGGCCCTGACTGTTAAACTACAAGGATGTGATTCGGAAATGTGAAATTCCATACCCTGGTACCATGTGAAACCTCACAACTATTATTTCAGTTTATTACACTCTGTGGCCAATAGTGTATACAAATTTAAAAGAAAATTAAAACATTCCAGTAAAGTCATGTTTACATGACTATGAAAAACTGATATGAAAAAATTAACTGCATTATAATTGCATGCTTTCTAGCACCACTGCAATCTCATCATGTTTAATTTTCATTAATTTTTTTAATTCTTTGATACTAAACTAGTGTGGGGAGGGGGAAGGTCAGTTTGTTACAGCACCACATTTTCAATGTTCATTGAAAATAGAAGATAATTATGGAAATTTTAATGCTACCCTGAGTCTCTTCTGTGTGGTCATTCATGAAGCCATTTTGAGAACTTTTGTTCCTTGCAAAGATTTTTACAGGAACGTACTGGTCCATATGCATTTTTTCACATTCTCAAGAAATTTAAAAATATGACTCTGGACAAGGCGCAAACAGTGAACAGAATCTGACATTCTGAAGGTCAAGAAGTGAGAAGAAGTACTAGAAGTATAAAAGCAGAGTTATCTGAGTGTTGCTAGCATTTGGAGGTGTTTTCCTTTAGTAACATGAAATGTGTCCATCAGGGACCTACTCAAGGATCCCTTTCAAACCTAGTTTACTGTGCTTCATATGGGATGTACAACTTGGCTGATGTGTCCACATATTTCTCATGTATGCATGACCATTCCCCGACCTAGGGAAGCATGTGAGACACAGCAGACCCCGTTGCCTGAAGAAACATGCTCAGGAACTTGTCACACAGCACATTAGAAGATATCGGGAAAGCTGTCTCTGTCTTCCCAGGGCTGTCAGAATGAAGAAGTGCAGGTCTGCAGGGCAAGAATGATAACCATAGATCCAAAATCCCAGAGAACTATGAGGTCAAGATGCTAGTAAGACCACAAGACCGCAGTGACAGGTACAGAACGCAAGCGCATAAAAATGTGCATGGCAAATGTGTAATGTGAGCAGATGATACGACACTCAATGCACACAAAAACACACCACAATTAGAACCATCTGCTGTTTTGCCTTCTTCAATTGAAAATGTGTTTATTGCATTATTTTGGTAATGGTTTCTTTGTAGTTAGTGTTTGATTGATTGTCCTCGTGTACTTCAATGTACTGTGTATTAGTTTCATATAGTGTGTGTAGTTAATTTGTGGAAAGAATATGTCTGATTAAATTTCAACATGAATAAGTTACATGCTGTCATCCTGTCCAGGGAGCCCTTGCCTTGTTTGTGCCCTGTGCTTCTATGGATGAACCCAAGGCTTTGTGTCAGCCTGTTCTGGATAAGCAGTTATGAAAGATGGATGAATGAGTAAAACACACATATGAGTCTCTTTGATTGTAATTTACATTGTAGCATTGTGACCATCATCTAGGGGTCAATTATAATTATAGATACAAACATATAATTTTATTTAAACTTCTAAAGTAGAAATGGTAACGCTTTACTTGAACCTGTCATCTATGATGCATTATAGATACCTTCATAATGCTTTATAACGGTCAGTATTACAGTTAATAACACATTACAGCATCTTCTATTGAAAGTCATAAGGCATTATAGTGTTGATTATAATGTATCATAAGCTCCAATGAAGCTCTCATCTATAACTCACTATATAGATACTTTCATAATGCATTATAATGGTCGGGATAAGAATTTAGGATGCTTTGTACTGCATTATGAAGGTATCTATAGTGCATTATAGATGAGAGCTGCAAAAAACATTCATAATACATAATACACATGGCTAAAACGTTAAGCCTTTTTCTAAATATTTACAAGCATGTGAGAAACTCACACTGTGCAAGAATATTTCACAAGGAGTACTGCACCCTTTCACAACAACTTTCTCAGTCACTTTTATACGTTCAGATATTTTACAGGATGTAAACAAGGATTTATTTTTGTTTGGAACTGCAGCATTTGGATGCTACCCATTATTGACTTACTTCTTCCCAGTGAGATGATAACTCCGATACATAAATAAACTTATATACTTCCCTGTTGCATAACACTCCAAACCGGTATATCTCACAGTCACAATCTGTTTTGTTGTCGAATGCTTGTGAGACTCAAGCGGACATCAGACATTTTGACGCAGAGAAGGAAACCAGACGAGGGCTAAGTGGAACGGTCTCCATATCAGCTGTTCCGCCACTGGGACACAAGGGCAGCACTCGTGATTGTTCCTTCTTATCTTGACAATGTTTCATCACTCATATAGATAAGTCAGAATTTTTATCATGCTTGTTAAATTATGAGTTATATCAGAAAAACTTCCGATCATTTAGCATGTTGCTTATTTAAAAACAACAATATGGTGGTCGGAATTATCTAGCACGACAATCAGCAGGCGGCGTTGTAAAATCCCCAGAGCAGAGATTTCTCTGCAAAAATATAAGCTTACGTTAAAAAAAAAAAAAAAAAAAAAAACCTTTGTTCTTCTAACAGGGGCTGTTCTTAGCAGGGTCCGTGCCTGTGACACGAAGGTTGCTGGTTTGAGTTCGGCTTCAGCAGAACAGTCACATGTCCATGGGCCCTTGAGCAAGGTCCCTAACCCCCAGCAACCCGGGTGCGTGATGTGTGCTTCCCCTCCACCGTGATCAATAATCTAACACTTTTCTATTCTATTCTATTCTATTCTATAATGTCAAGTCATTAAGTTCCACTCTGCTAAAACAATAAAGAGTTTCTGTCAAAACAATGAAGTCTGACATCTTCTCCAGGCCCCCAGTCTTCTCCAAAAATCACTCCAAGATCTATGTAAAATCAAAATGCTTTCAAAAGTTAAATATTACATCTCATGTAATAGTTGCTGTGGCATCCTTTGGCTAGGAATCTGTACAGATTACCTCTGTGCTATATAATATTCAATGTCAAATCCAATGTGTTTTGCACCTTCTGGGTATGGTGTTACTGAGAGACAGATATTATATGCGTGTCCATCTTTCTGTGACCCAGCATGCACTCCATAACTATGGATGCTTCCTCTTCAGGCTGCGGAGCACATTGATCATCATCCTGGCCAACAATCTGCCGTAAAAGACCCTCAAACATGTCAATATAACAAATATGGCTTCAGTTTCCCTGTGTGTCACTCTTCCTGATAAGTCTGTTACTGTAGCTCGCCCATCGTTGTCTATTGCATTTTGCTGGAAAGTCTACCTTCTGCTGTAAATCATCACTCTTCAGTTTATTTTGATTTGTATCTCTAACTCCAAGAGATTCTGACCGTCGCGGTAACTCAGAAGTGCCTCCTTTCCTTATTTTCCAGTCCCCTCGCTGTTGTGAGGTATTTCCTGTTTGCTACACTCTTTCGGGAGTGGAATCATGGACTCTACATGTTTGGAGTTTGCATGTTCTCCCCGTGTCCTTGTCAGGTTTCCTCCAGGTTCTTCAGTGTCTCCTTACAGCTCAAAAACAGACTAAGGTAAATAGGAGTTGCCAAATTGTGTGTAGGTGTGAATGGTGTGTGTGCCCTGCCTCGGACTGATCATTGCATTCCATAATCTCTAGTGCCAGGGCTCCAGAAAGTCTTCTCCTTTTAACATCAGAATTTATCCTCAAAATGACACCCAGTATTGAAATAATTGATATCATCCTTAAGTTAACTCAGCCTGGCCCCACTTTGACCACAATAAACAATCATGCATCAGTTAAATTGTTTTGACAGTATATTGTTTTGAAGACAAAACTGAATCTATTCATTTCCTTATTTGGTACGCTTTAACTTAACAGGACTTGCATTTCCAACTTTCCTAACATAGTATTCCGATGGCTCAATCAATTAATGAAATGGTCCAGCACTATACAAAAATATATAGCACATGCACATTTAGCTAAATGTGCAATTTGTTCACAGCATAAAGTATCTGTAATATATCCATTGCTTTATATAAATATGCCAAAAAAAGAACAGTTAACACACTGCTAATCTAAACAACTGCTGCATGTCACCCGTTTTTTGGCCAGGAAGCACCATTGGGGCTGTTTACCCAGATAATATCTTGTGCATTTTATCCACCCTTTCCTGTCGGATTATATAAAAGCCCTTTCCAAAAACAACTGATGACAATTGTGTTCGAGACCGAGAAACAGACCATCAAGATGCTTCGACTGAGTGCGCTGCTTGTGCTCTTAGCTTTCGTATCGATATGTGAGTAACGCGGTTTTTGGATATTTTAATAATTTGTAATTGAGAAGTAGAATTACAGGACAATGCATTGTTTTACAGCACTCTTCTAATTATTAATTATTTTCCTTCTTTCCCTATCATATCAGTCATACTAACCAACATTATACACTCTAATTATTTCAAAAATATTTAATTCTAAGTAATATTAACCTTTCTTTTTTCCCCTCACCTTTTTTATCCTAACCTTTACCCTGGACAAAGGTAAAGGCATCACCGGTGGGAAGGAGTCAGTGCCGCACTCCCGACCGTACATGGCATCGATTCAGAGAAACGGAAAGCACGAGTGCGGCGGCTTTCTGGTGGCCGAGCAGTGGGTCATGAGCGCGGCGCACTGCTTCCTGCAAGGGTGCGTCGCCGGTTCTGCTGCACCGAGCGCATCACTAATGACAGTTTTACAGATTCGTGTCTAACGCAGTCGAATTAACAACAACAACAACAACAATAATAATAATAATAATAATAATAATAATAATAATAATAATAAAATAGAATGTATATAATACCTTTCATAAACTCAGATTCTGTACATAGTTGCAAGGTACTTCATTTTTTTCCTTCAGCTTTTAAGAAATTAAACGCTCATGGTAGTTTTACTTACACAAAAAAATGCTCTGAGGGCAGAACGACCAATCAGATGACTTGGTCCCACCTTCTTTACAATCTGATTGGTTTTCTCTCTCAACCAATCATTTTTAGTTCTACCCTCAGAACATTTTTGTTTAAGGAAAACTCTCACGAGCTAATTAAACACTTCTTGGTTATACAAACCATAATAATATATTTTTCTTCTTTTATAGGACTGATGGTGTAAAGATAGTTTTAGGGGCTCATTCTCTCACAAAACCTGAAGAGTCAAAACAAGAATTCAGCATTGATACAGTGTATAAACACGCTGCTTTCTCACTGGCTAACTATGACAGCGATATCGCTTTAGTTAAGGTAGGCTAAGGTATATTTTGATGACACTTTTGTTGGCAGATCGTTCAGTATTTTTCACATCAATTTTTTATCTTATAATTGAAATACTCTTGGCATGTATTCAGCAGATAAATTCATTTGGAGAGAGTAGCTTTTCCCATTTATACAGGTGGGTGATTCAAACAGAGGTCTTTAACTTGCACCATAACCACAGTGGCCGCTGTATGAATTTAGCTACCTTAGCTAAAGAAATTCCTCTAGCGGGCTGAGAATTGTTTGAGATTTACTTGGGTTCCGTGTTTGCAGATGACGTCTAAGGCAAATATGAACGACGCTGTCAGCGCCCTAGAATTTCAGCGTACGGGTGAGGCGCTGCCACAGCCTGGGGATGTGGTCACCTCGGCTGGCTGGGGATCTTTGAACAACCTTGGCTTACGGCCCGACACGCTGCAGGAGGTGGACGTCGAAGTCATTGTCTCAAACCTGTGCTCCCGCGGCGATTACTATGGCCTCAAGTTCACCAGCAATATGATATGCGCTGCCAAGAAACGCAAGGATACTTGTGATGTAGGTCCCTCTCTTCATCATCCCATAAATGATCATTCCGTTCAAGCATTGTGCTGTCTGGGTTAACGGGGAATTAGATCCTGTGTTTGCAGTTTCTGGCACCTTGCTGACATTCTCATCATATCTTCCACTTTTAGGGAGACTCTGGTGGTCCTCTCCTCTACCAAAACGTGGCTGTAGGTGTGACCTCCAATGGTGGGAAAAAGTGTGGCACACTGAAGAAACCTGGTCTGTACACAATCATATCTAATTTCACTGACTGGATAGAGAAAACCATGAGAGAGTAAACTAGGCCGCTGCAGGATGATCATAACTCCTGCTTTTGTGTTTTGGTAAAAGGCCATCTTATTATAGAGGCAACTGTAAGTCAATAAATTCAATAAAAACAATGATTGTACTACTACGTGTAATGTACTGTCTCTTTTTTGTCTGTTTGAAATGCCTATAATGTGTGCTTGTTTGGATGGATGGATGGATGTACTGTGACCACTCACCACAAGATGGCAGTGCTAGCGGGTGCTGGAAAACACCCTCATGATTAGTATTTTCTTCTTTTTGCATGAACTAAACATTTGTATGACTCTTAGATGTATCACTTTTTACCAAAGAAATTTAAACATTTGCATGGTCTCCTTGAGTTTGTAAGAGATTTCTCCAAATGTCCTTCCTGTAGTCCAAACGCATCCATATTTGATGAACTGGTATCTCAAATTTGGCGGGGGGGAGGGGGGCTGAGCCCGCATTCTTTTTTTTCCATCCTTTTGTTGCCTGAATGATTGACAATGCCTCCGCAACAATGATCAAACAAAAGTTTCACAACAGGGAAACCCCCCCCAACCCACCCCCAAATTTT